CGAGGTTGTGGTTGAGGATCTCGGGGCGGGCGTCGATGACGGTCTGGAGGGCGTTCCAGTCGCCGAGGAAGTCCGGGATGAGGACCTCGATGGACATGCCGGGGACGGCCTCGCGGGATTCGAGGATGGTTTCGGCCCAGATCTGCGCGCCGCCGTCGGCGAGCTCGTCGCGGTTGACGGATGTGATGACGACGTGCTTGAGGCCCATGAGGGCGAGTGACTCGGCGACGCGTCCGGGTTCTTCGGTGTCGTAGACGGGCGGCTTCCCGGTTTTGACGTTGCAGAAGCCGCATGACCTGGTGCAGGTATCGCCGAGGATCATGATGGTGGCGACGCCGCGGGCCCAGCATTCCCCCATGTTGGGGCATCTTGCCTCTTCGCAGACGGTGTGGAGGCGGTGCTCGTCCATGATCTTCTTGAGCGCGGTATAGCCGGGTCCGCCGGGGACCTTGGCGCGGAGCCAGGACGGCTTGCGTTTGATTCCGAGCTGTTGTTTGGCCTCGGGTCCGTTGTTGAGGACCATGGAGGTGAGGCTGAAGGCTGGCGCGTCGAGGTTTCGGACCGGATCGCCGCCGAGGGGGCGGGGGTGGCGGGGCGAGGGCTTGCCGACGCGGTTGATGAGTCCCGGATTGCTGTGAACATCTGCCATGGGGGGTGAGTATAGGAGGGGCGAGGTGGGTCCACCGGCGTGCGTCGCGATTGAATTGATCGGTTCTTCCGAGTGCTGAGGTGGGGGATTTCGAGGAGCGTCGCGTGTGACGTCGGAGATCGAAAACCGTCAATCTGAGCAAAATGCGCGGTGTGGTGTGAACTTTACCGGTCCTCACGGTCGATACCGTGAATCGAGCTGTTCCGGTCTTCCGGTCGGCTCGCGTCGTGCCGAGCCGGTACGACGAGTGTGTTTGACAACTGTAGTGCCCTTGTTACCGTCCACGATTCAGGTGAGTGGGAGTCGTCCCGACCGTGGTGGACGGGAGAGCGTCAGCACAAGCGGCATCGTGATTTCGAGGAGCTCATGGTGAAACCACGCGCGAGGTCCAACATGGAAGCTTCAGGCACCGCCCGGCGGCGCGCGACATTGACGCGAGCGCTCGGCACGCTTGTGCTGGGAGGGGCGCTGCTTTCGGCGCCCGGTTGCGAGTGGGACGGCTGGCTGATCGATCCGTCGGTAGTCGGGCGTTGGGAGCACACCCCCACCGTTGTGCCGATCCTCGACCGGATCGACGTGATCGAGCGTGACACGGGCGAATTCGCCGATGTGACGGACATTCTTCCCGAGGACCTGATCCCGGAGCCGTCGGACTACCGCTCGGGCCCCGGCGACGTGATCCAGATCGACATCCTCGAGTTTCTCGAGGGCGGGGCGGCGGTGCAGTACCAGCGCCAGATCGACACGCGTGGCTTCATCGATGTGCCGCAGCTGGGTCGCCTGTACGTGGCGAACCTGACGCGCGAGGAGATCGAGCAGGAGATCAAGCGGACGATCCGCGAGGCTGACCTTCTGGATGATCCGCTGGCGACGGTGCAGTTCCTGGCTCGTCGCGAGCAGGCGTTCAGCATTTTCGGCGCGATCCCGGGCGTGGGTCGCTACCAGATCCCGAGCCCCGATTTCCGCCTTCTTGAGGGGATTACCGACGCGGGTGGCGTTTCGCCGACCATCCCGTTCATCTACGTCATCCGTCAGGTGCCGCTGGATCAGTCCGTCCGCACGGGGTTCCAGATCCCGGGCCGGAACCAGAACAGCGGCCAGCAGGGCGGTGAGAACGAGCCGCCGGTGCGTGACAGCGGGCCGAGCCTGGATGAGCTCCTCGAGGAGCTGTCGGGCGACGAGGAGGTCGGGGGCAGCCCCGGGTACCTCGGCCTGAGCGATCTTGGGGATGACCAGCCGATTTCGAACACCCGGACCGAGCCCACGCGCCTGGCGCTGCTGGAGCAGGACGGGCAGGACCCGATCGTGGACCTTTTCGACTCTGATGCCCCGTCGACGCCTTCGACGGCCGGGAACGGCGCCTCGTCGAGCCCGTACGGGACGCAGAGCGCGAAGTGGGTCTTCCTGGACGGCCAGTGGCGGAAGGTGACGCGTGCGTCCAACCAGAGCGCCTCCGGGCTGCCCGAGGGGGACGATCCGCTGGCGGACGACACGATCAATGTGGACGACCTGGTGACGCAGCGTGTGATCCGGGTTCCGGTGAAGCCGCTGCTGCAGGGTCTGGCTCAGTACAACATCGTTGTGCGTCCGGGCGACGTGATCTCGGTGCCGGGCCCGGATCAGGGCTTCGTGTACCTGGGCGGCCCGGGCATCAACCGCGGCGGCGTGTACGCCCTGCCTCAGGCCGGGCGTCTGACGCTGACCAAGGCGGTGATCGCGGCGGGCGGTCTCAGCGCGGTGGGTATCCCGCAGCGTGTGGACCTGACCCGGATGGTGGGCCCGGACCGCCAGGCGACGGTCCGGCTGGACCTGAAAGCCATTTTCGAGGGCACGCAGCCCGATATCTTCCTGAAGCCGGACGACACGCTGAACTTCGGCACGAACTTCTGGGCGACGCCCCTGGCGATTATTCGCGGCGGTTTCCGGATGACGTACGGCTTCGGGTTCCTGCTGGACCGGAACTTCGGCAACGACGTCTTCGGCGCCCCGCCGACGAACTTCCAGAACTGATCCCGACCCTCTGAATTGATCCGACCGGGGAGGCCGACGCGCCTCCCCGGTCTTCTTTTTGTCGGGGTTTGAACAATCGGGAGGCCCGTGACGTAGGTTTTTGGGTGATCGCGGCGGATTCCGGAGCCGCGGCGGAGTTGCGTCCCGGGGGAGCCGACTATGTAATCGCGTTCCCGCGTTCGCATGGCCGTGGGTCGATGGTGAGGTTTATGAGCGCTCTGAAGAGCTCGACATCCGGAGCTGGCGGGATCACCGCCGCTTCCGAACGCGCGTCACGCGTTCTCGGACGCTTTACGTCCGCTGATGTGGTGATGGCGTCGCTGATCGGGCTCGGCGTTGTGGCGCTGTTCTACCGCTGGATCGTGCGTCAGCTGGGCCCGAACGGGTTCAGCGCCCGGATGTTCGAGGACTGGGGCCACGCGTACTTCGTTCCGATCGTGTGCGGGTTCTACATCTGGAAGAACCGCGAGCGTCTGGCGACGTTGCCGGTGCGACCGTTCTGGCCGGCGCTGGTGATGCTGCCTCTGGCGGTGGTGACGTACCTGTACTTCGTGCTGGTGTACTCGACGCACATGTTCCAGGGCTTCGCGATGATCCTCGCGGTGGCGGGCGTGATCCTGCTGGTCGCGGGCCCGGTGGTGTTCCGGGCGTTGCTGTTCCCGATCGTGTACCTGGGCTTCGCGGTGACGATCGCGGAATCGGTGATGAACGCGATCACGTGGCGTCTGAAGATCATCGCGTCGCAGGGCAGCCACATCATGCTGAACATGATCGGTGTGGAGACGGACATCAGCGGGAACATTCTGTACATCTCGCAGGGCCTGACGACGCACCCGCTGAACGTTGCGGACGCGTGCTCGGGGATGCGGATGGTGGTGGCGTTCATCGCGCTGGGGACGGCGGTGGCGTTCCTGGCTTCTTCGTCGAGGGAGTGGTGGAAGCGGATCGCGATCGTGACGGTGTCGCTGCCGGTGGCGGTGTTCATGAACGTGGTGCGCGTGTCGGTGCTGGGCGTGCTGACGCTGATCAACCCGTCTCTGGCGGACGGCGAGGCGCACACGCTGATCGGGACGATCCTGCTTGTTCCGTCGTTCCTGCTGTTCCTGGGCATCGTGGCGGTCTTCGATAGGCTGACGGTGACGGAGGAGGAGCTGGAGCAGCGGCGCAAGGGCAAGGGGAAGGGCCAGGCCAAGGCGAGCACGAAGGCGAAGCCGGCGAAGCGAGCGGCGGCGCCGAAGGGGGGCGGGTCATGAGACGCGGCGTGCTGAGCGGCGGGGCGGCGGTGGTCGCGATCGTGTTCCTGGGTGCCGCGGCGTACGGGCTGGGGGCGTACATCGAGGCGGAGCAGATCCGCCTGTCGAAGGACCCGATCTACCCGCCGGAGAACATCAAGTTCACGGCGATGCCGACGCGATTCGAGGGGTGGGAGCGGATCGGCGTGGACGAGCAGATCGAGGGCGAGGAGCTCCGGGTGCTCGGGACGGACAATTACCTGACGCGGAACTTCGTGCAGACGGACGTGGCGGAGGACGCGAAGGCGTTCTCGCTGCACCTGGCGTACTACACGGGGACGATCGACACGGTGCCGCACGTGCCGGAGCGGTGCATGGTGGGCGCGGGGTGGCGGATCATCGGCTCGCCGCGTGTGGTGGACGTGCCGATCACGTTCCGCGAGGAGGGTCGCGACGTGCTGATCCGCGACCCGGACGTGGACCGTGAGTACGGCGACGTGTGGCTGATGCGCGACCCGGTGACGGGGCGGCGCGTGCGGATGCCGCTGGGGCTCGAGAATCTGAAACTGAACGTGACGCACTTCGAGAACGAGACGGGGAGCCGTCGTCAGTTCGCGGGTTACTTCTTCGTCGCGAACGGTGCGATCTACCCGACGGCGAACCAGGTGCGCGTGAACGCGTACAGCCTGAGCAACCGGTACGCGTACTACGCGAAGGTTCAGTTCACGAGCAACGACGTGGAGTCGTCCGAGGAGCTGGGGGAGCTCGCGGGCGAGTTTTTGGACGATTCGTTCCATTCCATCATGCGGCTGCTGCCCGACTGGGTGGAGGTCGAGGCTGGGCGGTACCCGCCCGAGGCGTCTTCGGTGGCGCCGTGAACGCGTATTGAGCACACAGAACGAGAGAGACACGAAACGACGGCCCGTGTCGGGCCACAGCACCCACGCAAAGGATCGAAGCGATGGCTACTCGCGTGAACAAGAAATTCGTCATCATCCTGACCTCCGCCCTGGTGGTCGTGTTCCTCGCGGTCGCGAGCATCGGGTTCTACGCGTTGTCGACGCGGAACCAGCGGAACATGGACCGCGGGGACACGGCGGCCGAGCAGGGGAACTTCTACGAGGCGAAGATCTACTACGGCAAGGCCGTGAACAAGGACGCGACGAACGTGGAGTGGCTGGAGAAGTTCCACGACGCGCTGCTGCAGTCGACGCCGCCGACGACGGCGGAGTACGACAAGTTCTACGACGACCACATCAACACGATGTCTCGGATGGCGCAGCTGTTCGAGAGCGACGTGGACCACCAGATCGAGTACATCACCGAGCGGAACCGCTCGTTCCGGCGGACGGCGACGTCGGTGGCGAGTTTCGAGTCGTTCGAGAACCTGGTCGAGCAGTCGGCGCGGTACATCCGTTCGGACGAGCCGAAGCTGGCGAAGCTGATGCGGTTCCGGGCGCTGTCGGTGGTGGACCGGATGGGGACGGACGTGGTCGAGAAGGAGGAGCGGGACCAGGCGATGGCGGACCTGGAGGCCGCGGTGGCGTTCGACCCGGACGACCACGAGGCGGCGCTGGCGATGGCGCGCTGGCACTTCGCGGAGATGGAGCGTTTCCGCCGCAACGCGCTGGCGACGGAGGCGTCGCTGAAATTCCAGGACGGGATGGAGGTGCTCGACGCGTTCCTGGCGGAGCACCCGGACAGCCCGGACGGTCATTTGCTGAAGCTGACTCGTGAGTACTTCGAGGCGAACCGCGCGGCGGTGTCGCCGGCGGCGCAGGCGCAGGTACGCCAGCGTTTCACGGCGCGGGTGAACGATGTGATCGAAGTGTTCGAGGGTGTCGACATCGCGACGGTGCGTCCTGAGTCGCTGAACGCGCTGGCGAGCATGGTCTCGTTCGTTCGCGACGTGCCGCTGGAGCCGATGATCGCGCTGGCGGACGCGGCGATCGCGCACAACCCGAACGACGTGCGTCTGATCATGCTCAAGGGCGGGCTCCTGATGCAGAACAACGACTTCCAGGAGGCGCTGGACACGTACCAGGAGATCGTGGACATGCCGCTCCCGCCGGTGAGCCTGGAGGGCAAGCTGCTGCCGTACTACCAGGCGCAGGCGCTGGGCCGGCAGGTGGACGTTGCGCTGGGGATGTACTCGCTCGCGGAGGACCCGGTGAAGCGTGACGAGGCGCTGGCGCTGGCGCGGTCGTACCGCGACGCGATGGAGCAGAAGGTCGGCGTTCGCGGGAAGGAGGAGCTGCAGCTCCGGGACGCGAAGCTGGCGATCGTGAACGAGGACTACAACTCGGCGGTGGCGAACCTGAGCGAGATCATCCAGCTGGAGGTTGGCGACTCGGTGCAGAACCACCGTCTGCTCGCGCACGCGTTGCGTCAGCAGGGGAACCTGGGCGAGGCGCGGAACGTGATGGTGGACCTGCTCGATCTGATGCCGAACGACCCGCAGCTGCTCGTGGAGATCGCGGAGTACGACATCAACCTGAGCGATTTCGAGAAGGCCCGTGACCGCCTGGAGCTGGCGCTGCAGGGGAACCCGACGAACGAGCTGATCCAGCAGCGTCTGCGCGAGGTGGAGACGGCGCTGGACCCCGAGTCCCCGGACGCGGACCCGATCGTGAGCGCGGTGATCATGAGCCGCAACCTGCGGGACGACCAGAACTACCCCGAGGCGGAGCGGATCCTGAAGGAGCAGCTGGAGCGTCACCCCAACGAGTACCGCCTGGTGCGCGAGCTGGCCGAGGTGCTGGTCCGCCAGGACCGGCGTGACGAGGCGCTGGTGTACATCGATTCGGCGCTGGAGCTGTACCCGAACAACGATCGCCTGAAGCAGGTGCGCCTGGTGGTGGCGGAGAAGGACCCGGTGGTGCTGGGGATCCAGCTCGTGGAGCTGTCCGAGGCGTCCGAGGTGGACAAGCTGATCGACAAGTACCAGGTGTACGCCCGCCACGGCCAGCAGGAGAAGGCGGACGAGATGCTCGCGCAGGCGCAGGAGATGAACCGCCTGCACCCGCGTGTGATCGAGCTGGAGTTCCTGCTCGCGCTGATGAGGATGGACAAGGAGGCGGCGGTGGCCGCGATCGATCGCGCGACGCAGGCGAACGCCGACCAGCTCGGCGGCCTGCTGTACCAGGCGCGGATGAACATGCGGTTCGACAACACGGGCGACCCGAACCTGACGATCGCGAAGGCGATCACGTACCTGCAGCAGGCGGCGGAGAAGTCGCCTCGGAACCCGGCGGTGTGGCTGCTGCTGGGCGAGGCGCGCTCGCAGGCTGGTCAGGTGGCGGAGGCTGTCGAGGCGTACAAGAAGGCGTACGAGGGCCGTCCGAACGACGCGCAGACGATCAAGGCGTACGCGCGGGCGCTGGAGAACGTGAACCAGGAGGCTGAGGCGCTGAAGCTGATCACGCCGTCGGCGGGCATCGTCCGTCAGACGATGTCCGACCCGGAGATCGTGGAGATGTGGCTCCGCCTGGCGGAGACGCACGGCGACCGCAAGGAGGTGCTTCGGATCCGGCGCGAGCTGTTCGCGGCCGAGCCGAAGGTGTTCAACTACCGCAACGCGATCGACCACTTCCGCCTGTCGCTGGAGGAAGAGGACTGGGCGAGCGCGCAGGGTGCGATCGACCGCCTGGGGACGCTCGGCGACCTGACGGAGCTGCAGCTGACGATCCTTCAGGTGAACCTGATCCGCGAGCGTGACGGGTTCGACGCGTCGAAGGCGGCGTTCGAGGCGTACGTCGCGACGCTCGGCGACGCGAGCGACACCGACAAGCTGCGTGCGTACCTGAACTTCGGGCAGTTCCTGGTCGAGAACGACCGGCCCGAGGAGGGCGTGCTGGCGTTCGAGCAGGCGGCGCCGTTCCAGACGGAGCTGCTCGAGGTCGAGCGCCAGCTGGGCGACCTGTACTTCCGCCTGGGCAACCGGCAGACGGACCTGGCGGAGGCGGCGCGGGCGTCGCGTGACGAGAACCTCGCGGCCGAGCACCAGGGGAACGCCGAGGCGTACCTGAGCGAGGCGGCGGACCACTACCAGCGGATCATCGACGAGGGCCAGGCGGAGGGGAACGCGTCGGTCGTGGTGTACAAGCGGTACGCCGAGACGCTCCTGAAGCTCGGGAAGGTCGACGAGGCGAAGCAGGCGCTGACGAGCGTGCCGCAGACGCAGGGCGACCTGGAGCTGCTGGTGCTGCGTGCGTCGATCGCGGCGGCGTCGGGGAACCGGCGTGGGGCGCGCGAGCTGTACGACGAGGCGGTGGAGCGGTTCCCGAGCCGGACGCTGCCGTACGTGCAGCGGGCGCTGTTCAACGCGAGCGACGCGGCGCTGCGCGCCGACGCGATCGAGGACCTGCGCAAGTCGGTGATCCTGAACCCGAACCTGATCCAGGCGTGGACGGAGCTGTACCGCCTGATGAAGCTGGCGAACCCGGACAACCTGGACGCGGCGTTCGCGACGCTCCAGGAGGCGATCCGTGCGAATCCGCGTGAGGACCGGCTCGTGATCCTGCTGATCCAGGAGCAGTTCGCGGCGGGCCGTCGTGAGGACGGCGTGATCACGGCGACGCAGGCGATCCAGTCGCGTCCGGACGACGAGAACTGGCTGTACGCCGTGGCGCAGATTCTGGGCCAGGCTGGCCGTCACCGCGACGCGGCGGACCTGTTCCAGCGTCTGGTGAGCATGACGCCGGAGGGCGAGCAGCCGGAGCCGGTGTACATCGCTGGGCTGCTGGACGCGACGCTGAAGCGGACGGACACGCGGATCCCGGATTCGCGGGTGTTCGACCTGCTGCGCCAGTTCCGCATCATGGTGGACGAGAAGACGGAGTCCGAGGGCCTGACGGATCAGGAGAAGGTGTACTTCCCGATGCTCGAGGCGCGGGCTCTGGCGAAGGTGAACGACCTGGACGGGGCGTTCGAGCCGCTGAAGAAGGCGCTGGCGGCGACGGGCGAGAGCGGCCCGCTGGGCGCGGCGTGGTTCGGTCAGCTGCAGCTGATGACCGAGCGTCGCGAGCAGACGTACACGTTCCTGAAGCAGCAGGAGGCGCGGGGTCAGCTGAACCCGTTCCTGGTGGTGCAGCTCCAGAACTTCCTGCGGAACGAGGGCTCGGCCGTGGAGCCGCTGCTGGAGCGCGTGAACGAGGTGCTGGCGGACAACCCGGACCCGCTGACGCGTCTGGACGCGCTGAAGAACAAGTCGCGGTTCCTGTACGACCTGGGCCGGTACGAGGAGTGCTCGGAGGTGATCAAGCAGGCGCTGAAGATCACGCCGTTCGACGTGGAGCTGAACAACAACATCGCCTACATCTACGTGGAGAATCTGCAGCGGTACGAGGAGGCGGTGGAGTACGCGGAGCTGGCGCGGGCGCGGGACGAGTTCTCGTCGAACACGCTCGACACGCTGGGCTGGGCGTACTACCACGTGGACCGTCTGGACGAGGCGCGTGAGGTGCTGAAGCGGGCGTATGACCAGGCCAGTACAGATGCCGAACGGATCCCGGCGTTGATCCACCTCGGGTTCGTGGAGCACAAGTCCGGCGACGGGATCGCGGCCCGTCAGGCGTACGATCAGGCCCTACGACTGGCAGAATCGTCACCGGCGGCGGGCGGTGCGTTCCGGTCGAAGTTCGAGGCCCTCCGGGCGGCGTTGGAAGGTCCCTGAATGATTGAATCCTGATTTACGGTGAACGGTCATTCTCGCCGAACGTAGTTAAGCGCCGGCCCTTCCCGGGAACGGGATGGGCGGGCTTCACAGGTGGGAGCCCCCGGCTTCCTGAAGAGAGTCCCCCCCGGCGTGTCCGTCGCGTCGGTTTCCGCATTTTGCAATCTGCACGAGGTACTGAGTCATGACCCCGGGCCAGCCCCCTTCGACCGTTCCCCCGTCGTCCGCCCGCCCCGGTGGCGGCGGCCCGCCCCGCCCGGCGGGGCCCGCGCCCGCGTCGTCCTCGATGTCGGCGCCGGTGATCGACCCGATGCGTCTGATCATGACGTACTGGCCGGTGGGCCTGATCGCGGCGGTGGTCGGGATCGTGCTCGGGATCGCGATGTACTTCGCGTTGCTTCGTCTGGCGCCGTCGTACGTCTCGAGCGCGATCTTCGAGGCGGAGGCCCCGAAGGGGATCGTCGGCGAGGGCGGCCAGGAGACGATCGGCACGGGCGGCTCGGACGAGCTGGACATCTTCATGGAGACGCAGGTGCAGAACATGGTCTCGGACCGCCTGCTGCGCCAGGCGATCAACGAGCCGAACATCCGCGAGACGAAGTGGATCCAGGGGTTCGTCGTGAACGGTCGCGTGGACGAGGTGGAGGCGCTGAAGGACCTGCGCGACCACGTGAGCGCCCGGGTGGTCCCGGACACGCTGTTCATGCAGCTGAACGCGCGGTTCTCGAGCAAGGCGGACGCGAAGACGGTCGCGGACGTGCTCCAGACGGTGTACATGGCGGACGTGCGCCGGCAGGCGAACCGTGGTCTGAACGACGACATCTCGCTGCTGGAGAACACGCTGCGTGTGACGCGTCAGGAGGTCGAGGCGCTGGACCGCCGGATCGACAACCTGCTGGGGGAGGCCCAGATCACGTCGCTCGAGCAGCGCGAGTCCGGGCAGTTCGCCGAGATCCAGAACCTCCAGCCGGCGCTGGTGGAGATCCGGGAGCAGCGGGCGCTGGCGCGCGAGCAGCTGGGCAGCTACGAGCAGCTGCTGAACTCGCCGGGCGGTGTGCAGTACCCGGACACGGTGCGTTCGGAGGCGGAGGGGCACCCGATCATCGCCAACCAGGACGCGCTGATCGCGAACGAGAAGGCGGCGATCCGCGCGATGCTGAACCGCTTCGGCGAGCGTCACCGCGAGGTGGTCCGCCGGAAGAACATGCTGGCGGCGCTGGAGCAGGAGCGTGCGGGGCTCGTGGAGCAGAAGACGGCGGAGCTCTTCCGCGCGCGGATCGAGCAGCTCCGCTCGACGATCGCGAACCTGCAGGAGAGCGAGAACGACCTCCAGGAGCGTCTGCGCCAGGCGCAGGACAGCCTCGTGGAGGTGACGCAGGTGCTCAAGGAGCACGACAACCTGGCGCAGGAGCGTTACGAGAAGCAGGAGGCGATCAAGTCGCTGAACGAGCGGATCACGAACCTCCGGATGCTGGTGACGGGCGGCACGCGTGTGGCGCTGAACTCGGCGCCGGAGCTGCCGAACGAGGTGTCGTTCCCGCGCCTGCCGGTGACGGTGGGCGGGACGGCGTTCCTGGTGTGCGCGGCGGTCGGCGGCCTGATTTTGCTGAAAGAGATCCGCGAGACGCGTGTCCGCGGGCCGCAGGACGTGCTGGCGATCCCGCGCACGAAGGTGCTCGGGGTCATCCCGGACATCAGCCTGGACCCGTCGAAGCCGGAGTCGGTGGAGATGGCGTCGCGGGACAAGCCGCAGGGGGTCATCGCGGAGTCGTTCCGCCAGATCCGCGGCGGGATCATCAAGAGCATGGACGAGCACGACATCAGCTCGATCGTGATCTGCGCGGGGATGCCCTCTTCGGGCGCGACGTCTGTGACGACGAACCTGGCGTTGAAGCTGTCCGTGGCGGGTCACCGGATCCTGATCGTGGACGGGAACCTTCGCCGTCCGTCGATGCACAAGGTCTTCGGTGTGTCGCGCACTCCGGGCCTGAGCGACTGCCTGCTCGGGAAGTCGACGGTCGACGCGTGCGTGGTCTCGACGAGCTTCGGGAACATCGATCTCCTGCCCGCGGGCGAGACAATGGAGGGCATCTTCGAGAAGCTGCCGACGAAGGCGATGGCGGACGTGATGGCGCAGGCGGAGTCGAAGTACGACCTCGTGCTCGTCGACTCGGCGCCGGGCATGGTCGGCGAGGACGCGGTGTCGATCGCGAACCACTGCGACGCGTGCATCCTCGTGGCGCGGGCGCTGAGCGAGAAGCGCGGCCTCGTGGCGCGTCTCCGGAACCAGCTGGGCGACACGTCGGCGCGATTCCTGGGCGTGATCGTCAACGGCGTCGAGGCGTCGGCCGGCGGTTACTTCCGCAAGAACTACAAGACGACCCACGACTACACCACCGGCGACCGCGCCGATGGCGCGGGCAAGGGCAAGAAGTCCAAGGCCGAGGCGACCGAGAAGGCGGAGGCCGGCGCCTGAGCCGCCGGCGGACCTTCCGGCGCGATAGGGACTCATGAACGCACGCGCCGCACAACCTGACACCACGCGCCGGCGCTCCCTCGTCACGGGGGGCGCCGGTTTCATTGGCTCGCACCTCGTCGACGCCCTGCTCGCGCGGGGCGATTCGGTGACGGTGGTCGACGACCTTTCCACGGGCTCGCTGGAGAACCTCGCGGACGCGGGGCTCGAGAAGACGCGCCTCCGATTCATCGAGAAGACGCTCGGCGCGTCGCTCCGCGAGGACCTCGTTTCCGAGCCGGCGTTCGACGAGGTGTACCACCTCGCGGCGTCCGTCGGGGTGATGCGGATCCTGGAGCAGCCGGCGGAGTCCATCGAGACCAACGTGCTGGAGACGGGGGCGCTGCTGCGGTACTGCGTGGAGCGCGACCCGGGGCGGATGCCGCGGGTGCTCGTGGCGTCGAGCTCGGAGGTCTACGGCCTCGGCGGGCGTGGCGAGAAGCTGCGCGAGTCTGACGATTGCACCTACGGCCCCACCACGGCTCACCGGTGGTCGTACGGGTATTCGAAGGCCGTGGACGAGTTCCTGGCGCTGGCGCACCACCGCGAGTACGGGCTGCCGGTGGTGATCGCTCGGTTCTTCAACGTTATCGGGCCGCGACAGACGGGCGAGCACGGGATGGTGGTCCCCCGGTTCGTGGCGTCGGCGACGCGTGGCGAGCCGCTCACGGTTTTCGGTGACGGGACGCAGGTGCGGACGTTCTGCGACGTGCGCGACGTCGTGCCCGTGCTGCCGGTGCTGGTGGGTCGAGAGGCGTGCTCGGGGGAGGTTGTGAATATCGGTTCGGATTCACCGATCAGTGTGCGAAATCTTGCGCAGGAAGTGGTGCGTGTGCTGAATTCGGCTTCCGAAATCCGCACGATCCCGTACCATGAGGCGTACGTGGGCGGATTTCAGGATCTCCCGCACCGCTGCCCGGATCTGAGCAAGGCACGGCGTCTGTGCGGCTTCGAGCCGTCCACGTTGCTCGAGCAGACGATTCGTGACATCGCTGAGAGCACCCGAGGAGAGAGCCGTCCCGCCCGCGGGACGGGCGCGCCGACGACGCCATGATCGCATCGCTTTTCACCACGCCTGGCCGCTCGACATTCGACTCGATTTCCGGGATCGATCAGGGTCCTGCCGCGTTGACGAGCGTGATCGAGCCGCTGGGTTCCCGGCTGGAGGTGCTCTCGGGGTACCTGGTGATCTTCGTGGTGGCGTTCCTCGTGTCGCTGCTGGCGACGCCACTGATGCGTCGGCTGGCGCTGGCGAACGGCGTGGTGGACAGCCCGAACGACGCCCGGAAGATCCACCGTGAGCCGATCGCGTATTTGGGCGGCGTGGCGGTGTACCTGGGGATGATGGCGGCGATCGTGTTCTCGTTCGTGTCGACGGACATCGTGAGCGTGTTCCCGTTCACCTTGTTCGAGCCGCACCCCTCGCGGTTCGAGCTGCAGCACGTGTCGTTCGCGATCCTGCTGGGCATGACGATCATCATGGTGATCGGCCTGCTGGACGACGTGGTCGGGCTGGACCCGCGGCTGAAGGTTGGCGGTCAGCTGATGGCGGCGGCGGCGCTGGCGATGAGCGAGATCGGGACGCAGGTGGCGCAGGGGCTGCTCCGGCCGATCGGCCGGCTGCTGCAGAACGAGTCGCTGGTGTACGTGATCGACCTGCCGGTGCCGATCCCGGGGTTCAGCGACCAGATCCCGATCGACATCATCTACTGGGTGGGGACGGCGATCATCGCGATCTTCATCCTCGGGGCGTGCAACGCGAGCAACCTGATCGACGGGCTCGACGGGCTGCTCTCGGGGGTGACGTCGATCGCGTGCGCGGGGCTGCTCTTCGTGGCCTTGACGATGGCGCTGATGGACGACGGGATCCACGACGCGGCGCGGATCACGCTGACGCTGGCGTTGCTCGGCGGGTGCATGGGGTTCCTGCCGCACAACTTCAACCCGGCTCGGATCTTCCTGGGGGACTGCGGTTCGCTGCTGCTGGGGTACACGACGATCGTGATCGTGCTGCTGCTGGGTCAGACGGGCAAGACGCACCTGGTGGTGGCGGGCCTGATTATTTACTCGATCCCGATCGTGGACACGGTGCTGGCGATTTTCCGGCGGAAGCTGGCGGGTCTGCCGATGAGCGCGCCGGACGACAAGCACATGCACCACGTGCTGAAGCGGCGTTTCGGCGTGAAGGGCGCGGTGCTGGTGATCTACGCGATCGGGACGGTGTTCGCGCTGATCGGCGCGGCGCTGTCGCTGCTCGATATCCGTGAGGTGCTCACGGCGGCGATCGTGCTGGGTGCGTTCCTGGGGATCGCGTGCCTGAAGATCGGTCGGACGCAGGCGGCGGACATCCGGCGTCGCCTGGCGGCGGGTGACGGGCCGACGATCAAGAAGGACGCGGCGCACGCGCCGCCGCCCCGCCGACGCACGACGAAGCGTCCGACGGCGCCGGGCCCGCGACGCAAGTGAGGCCGGGGCGTACACTGCGCCCATGAGCAGCATCCAGGATTTTCGTGAGCGTCGCGCGGCGGGTCAGGCGAAGCTCGAGGCGCTCGAGCACCTCGGCATCAAGCGGTTGCTGACGATCGACCACCAGACGTACCGGGACGCGACGGACAGGGGCGGGCTGGACGAGCGGACGAAGGAGCTGCTCGGGCTCGCGACGAGCGCGGTGCTGCGGTGCGACGACTGCATCCTGTACCACGTGGAGCGGTGCGTCGAGCTGGGGTGCACGAAAGAGGAGATCGTGGACGCGCTGAGCGTGGTGTACGTGGTGGGCGGATCGATCACGATCCCGCACCTTCGGCGCGCGGTCGCGGCGATCGACGAGCTGATGGTGGAGCGCGGGTAGCGCTCAGACCTTGCGGGCCTGGACCTCGAGGAGGTGGTAGCCGAACTGGGTTCGGACGGGCTCGGAGACCTCGCCGATGGGGAGGTTGGAGAAGACGACCTTGTCGAACTCGGGGACCATGTCGCCCTTCTTGAAGGTGCCGAGGTCGCCGCCGCCCTTGCCGGAGGGGCACTGGGAGTGCTGCGCGGCGAGCTCGCCGAAGTCCGCGCCCTCTTCGATCTGCTTCTTGAGATCGATGGCTTCCTGCTCGGTTTTGACGAGGATGTGACGGGCGCTGGCGGTGGCCATGGCGGTGCTCCTGTGCTCTGGGTCTGTGCTTGGTTGAGACGTGAGTGTAACTGGATTCCGGGGCGTGGGTGTGGTCCAATCGGGGCATGAAAAAGCCGCACTGGACCGTGTATCTGGCGGGTGAGATCCATTCGTCGTGGCGAGAGGAGATCGCGCGCGGCGTGGAGAACGCGGGGCTACCCGTGACGCTGGTTTCCCCGGTGACGGACCACGAGGCGAGCGATTCGTGCGGGGTTCGGATCCTGGGCGATGAGTCGGAGGGGTTCTGGAAGGACCACAAGGGGGCGCAGATCAACGCGATCCGGACGCGGACGCACCTGGAGCGGGCGGACGTCGTGATCGTGCGGTTCGCGGGGAAGTACCGGGAGTGGAACGCGGCGCTGGACGCGGGGTACGCGCTGGCGCGGGGGAAGCCGATCGTCGTGATCCACGACGAGGAGCTGACGCACGCGCTGAAGGAGGTGGACGCGGCGGCGCTGGCGGTGGCGCGGACGGCGGGGCAGGCTGTTGAGATCCTGGAGTACGTGATCGCGCAGCGATAACCGGGTGGGACGCTCGGGGGTGGCTTTCAGCGGTTCTCGGAACGGGCCGATAGACGGATTGTGACGACGTTCGGTCCAACCGATTTCAGCGCGCTCTTCGGGCTCGACGCGCTGCGCATTCAGAGCAAGGCGCTCAGCGGTTCGCTGGAGCGTCTGGCGACGGGGCGGCGCATCAACCGGGCGTCGGACGACCCGGCGGGGACGGTGCTGCTCTCCGCGACGACGGCGCGGCGGCAGGCGGTGGAGGCGCAGATCTCGGGGCTGGAGCGGACGCGGCTGCTCAACGACACGACGTCGGGGGCGTACACGGACATCGCGGACCGGCTGATCCGTCTGCAGGGGATCCTGACGGAGGCGGCTGACACCGGCGGGCGTTCGGAGGAGGAGCTCGAGGCGCTGCAGGTCGAGGCGGACGCGATTCTGGACTCGATCGACTACACGGCGGAGACGACGACGTTCAACGGGATCCGCGTGCTGAACGGCGAGGGGATCCTGCTGGGGACGACTCTGGAGACGCGTCTGAACGCGCACACCGGCTCGCTGGGATCGACGCTGTACGAGGTGCTCGTCGAGGAGGCGCAGGGCGAGCCGGGGAGCGAGGGGTACACGCCGGCGCAGTACACGGGCGTCGACGTTTCGCTGGGGGACCTGCGGACGGGCGGGGTGCTCAACCTGGTGGACGGCGACGTGGAGCGAGCGCAGTCGGTGCTGGATTCAGCGTTGAAGCAGGTGGTCCGGGCGGGTGCGAATACGGACGACCTCGGGCTTTCGGCGCAGATCGCGGCGCTGTCCGGGGAGCTGGAGACGCTCGCGAAGATCGAGAGCGAGGTCGGGGACACGGATTACGCGTCGGAGTCTTCCGAGCTGGTGCGCCGCCAGGTGCTGGCGGAGGCGGCGACGCGGGCGATCCTGATTCACCGGGAGCAGACCGCGCAGACGACGCTCGGGCTGCTCGGGTGATCGAACTTTGAATTGGTTGTTGCGCGCTCGGGCGGTGGCTTTCCACGGGCTGGATGCCCGTGCCACGGACCCCCTGGACGATCAGATGCCGCCGCCGTCGATGAAGCCGAAGAAGCGGGCGAGTCGGCCGGCGTGCTTGTGGCCCTCGGCGTCGTAGATCGCGATCTCTTCGAGCTTGGGGATGTAGATGTGGAGGGTGATGAGGTCGGTCTCGGCCTCGTAGTTGGAGATGACGTGGGTGTCCTCGTCCTGGGAGGCGCAGTAGTCGCCGACCTGCTTGGAGGAGGAGGAGACTGGGGCCATGACGCCGCAGGGCATGAACTCGTAGAGGGTCTCGGTGGCCTTGCCCTGGAGGATGGTGAGGCCGCAGATGGAGCCGGCGTGGTCGTGGATGGGTGAGTGCTGGCCGACCTTCCAGCAGATGACGAGGGCTTCGTAGTGCTCGCCCTCCCAGAGGAGATTGCGGGAGTAGCCGGTGTCGGAGAAACGGATCCAGGGTTTGAGGTCTTCGACGGTGAGGTCGGCGGCCTTCATCTCGCGGAGGAGCTCGTCGAGGGGGGGGCGTCCGTCGAGGCCGTCGAGGTAGGCGCGCAGGCGCTGGAGCTTCGGGTTGCTCTTCGAGGATGCGGATGAGGTGTTGCTGGCCAGCGTTGTCATGGTCGACTCCGTTGAGCGCTCGTTCGGTCGGTGCGTGTGCGGATGGGTCCGCTTTGTAGTGTACGGTCAGAACGGGGGATCTCCGAAGAATGCGCAAAAAAACACGCCGATACGGTGATCGGCGTGTGCGTTTTGGCTCTTTTTTCCGTTCGATCAGCGGTTGAACTCACCGAACGGCAGTCGGAGTTGTGGGCGATTGCTCGCCCACGGGTTCAATAGCGGCCGCGACCGCCGCCACCACCGCCGCCACCGCCGAAGCGCTGGGGCTTGGGACGGGCTTCGTTGACCACGATGGCGCGGCCTTCCATGTCCTGGCCGTTCATGGCGTTCATGGCTTCTTCGGCGGCGTTGTCGTCGTCGAACTCGACGAAGCCGAAGCCCTTGGAGCGGCCGGTTTCGCGATCCATGATCACGCTGGCGGAGGTCACGTTCCCGTACTGAGAAAAGGCTTCCTGCAGGATACGGTCATCAACACGGTACGGGAGGTTCCCGACGTACAGCTTCTTCATTGCTCTTCACAATCTTCATTGGTCCATGGGACTCGAGGGAAAAGTCCGTGCGTTTGTGGTGGACCGCACACAAGCGCCGGGGTTCGGGCGTCAGGCCCGATCTGGGCTGTATGGTACCCGCGAGTGTGCTCGGACGCGCTGGAAATCCGGGCATCGGGTCAGATTCTCGGCGGGGAGGCTTTTTGTGGTGTTCGGGTGGTTGCGGTGAAAAACCGCTCTCAGCCCTCGATATCGAGCTTTCGATGGGCGGGATCGGGCTGTCCGTAGGGGCCGTAGGCGGCGTGTGCGGCGCGGTCCTCGTGGCCCTCTTCGGTGTCGTTGCCCTTGGCGGCGCGGACGGCCTCGGCTTCGTCGACGGCCTGGGTGGAGAGGTCGGCGCCGTCGACGCCGCGGCCGGCGCCCTTGTCGGTTTCGTCGGCTTTGCGCTTCTGCTCGCGTTTGACGGCGTTCTCGAGGCGGCCGATTCCGACGAGCGAGTTCGGGATGATGGAGCCGAGGAAGGGCATAGAGGAAGCATCGGGTGCGTCTCGCGGATCGCATGAGCGGGGAACCGAAACGGACGCTGGGCGCGCGGAAGCTGCGCGGGTGGGCGATCTCGGGCGGGATGCGGCGTCCTTATAAAGCGTCCGGATCGGCGATGGCGCGCTCGACGATGGCGGTGGCGCGGGCGAGGGCGTCGCCCGGGTCTGGCTGAGATTTCGCGATAGCGACGGCGCGCCGGCAGCGGGCGATCATCTTGTCGCGCGAGCGGGCGTTGCCGTTTTTTGTGTCCGAGAGGTTGTCGAGGACGTCGGCGAGTTTGATGAGTTTGGCGCGCCAGTCGGCGGCGATCAGGCCCTCGTCGTAGTTCTTCTCGCGGATGTCCTCGCGGGTGCGCATGTCCTTGGTGAGCGCCGCGACGCAGTCGGCGGTCTCGGCGCCGAAGCCTTCGAGGATGTCGTCGTAATCGGCGGGGGTGTCCTCGATGGTGTCGTGGAGGAGGGCGGCGCAGAGGGCGACGGGGTCGTCGCAGCCGAAGGTGTCGCGGACGGTCATCGCGACGCGGAAGGGGTGGGACGCGTAGGGGGTTTGGCCGTCCTTGCGGAGCTGGCCGGCGTGGGCGCGGGCGGCGAAGGCGGCGGCGGCGCGCCAATCCGGGGGGGTGGGGGTGGGGGTCATGGGGTGGCCCTTTCGAGGAGGGCGAGGACGTGGACCTCGACGGCGCGTCCCTCCCCCACCGCGTCCACGCGCTCGTGGGTTTTGCCCTTGATGTTGACGCGGTCGCGGTCGACGCGCAGGAGCTCGGCGAGGCGGTCGATGAGCTCCGCCTTGCGGGGGCCGATCTTCGGTCGTTCGAGGATGACGGTGCAGTCGATGTTGGCGAGGGCGTACCCGGAATCGGTCATGTTCTCGAGGGCCGCGTGGAGGAAATCGCGGGAATCGCGGGCTTCGTTGGCGGGGTCGTTGTCCGGGAAGAGCTGGCCGATGTCCGGGAGGGCGAGGGCGCCGAGGATGGCGTCGGTGACGGCGTGGAGGAGGGCGTCGCCGTCGGAGTGGCCCACGGGGCCCTTGTCGTGGTCGAAGGGGAGTGAGCCGAGGACGAAGGGGCGTCCGCCGCTGTGAGGAGGCTCGAGGCGGTGGAGGTCGTAGCCGTGGCCGATGCGGTATTGGGGCGGGTTGGTGGTCACGGTGTGAAAAGGTCCATGTGTTTGGGGTGTAAAGGGGATCGGACCTTGAGGAGGCCCCATAATTCGGACGATACACAGGCAGACCGTCGAACTTCTGATCGGCGAGTCGGGTAGTGTGTACACGGGCGTGCCGCGCCGCACGGGCGGGCGTCGAAATCGGCCATTTTCTCGCGTTGGAGCATCCAGATGATCCCAGGGCTGTCAAGTCATCGCCGACCCATTCTTCGAGCCGCGCTGGCGGCGTGTGTCGCTTCCGCGGCCCTGACGGGCTGCGCGTATGACGGCGGTCTCCCGTACTCGGCGGACCAGTTCACGTACGACTCGACGCCGTGGCGTCCGTACACGGTGTCTCTGATCGACACGCGTACGGGCGAGACGGTGTGGCTCGTGGATATCCCGGTGGAGCACACGCTGCAGTGTTCGTTCCGGACGGGCTCGGGCCCGAACAGCTACAAGCCGGACATGATGACGTGGAAGGTGTTCCCGACGGACCGCTCGTCCTCGACGAGCCGGAACACGCTGCCGGTGCCTGATTCGACGGCGCGTCGTCTCGACGTGGTGATCCGTCCGGTTCCGGAGTTCCCGGATTCGACGCCGGGTCGCTCGCCGTTCACGCAGCCGTCGCAGGTGTTCTCGCAGTCGGACGTCGGCGGCGAGGCGGAGGCGCAGGCGGTGAGCGGCGGTTCGGAGGAGGCTCCGACTCGCGCGGTGCCGTACGTGCCCGTTGAGGCGCCGGCGCAGAACACGCCGGTGAGCAACGACACGCCGCCTGCGGATGAGCCGCCGGTCGATATCCCGGATTGATCGGATCGCTCAGCTGAAACAGCAATGAAAACGCCCCGCCGTGAGACGGGGCGTTTTTTCGTTTGTGGCTGGGCTCGTGACCGGTCAGTCTCGTGACTGGAGCTTGGCGAGGAGTCGGAGGATCTCGAGGTACATCCAGACGACGGTGATGAGGACGACGAAGCCGCCGTACCACTCCATGTACTTCGGCGCGCCGTTGATCGCGCCTTCCTCGATGACCTGGAAGTCGAGGACGAGGTTGGCGCTGGCGAGGGCGATGACGAAAAGGGAGAAGCCGATGGAGATCATGCCGCCGTTGGAGGGGTCGTAGACGGAGACGAGTGAGTAGCTTCCGAAGAGCCCCGCGACGAAGGCGATGGCCATGTAGAAGAGCAGGCCGAGCGTGAGCGTGACGGTGACGTTTCTGAAGGTGCGGTTGGGGCGGATGATGCGGAAGCCGTAGGCGGTGAGCAGGCCGCCGACGACGCCGAAGGTGATGAGCCCGGCGTTGAGGATGAGCTGCGTGTTGAGCTGTCCGGATTCCTGCGCGAACTGCTGGGCGTAGACGGCGGAGACGCCGCCCACGAGGATGCCCTCGGCGATGGCGACGAGGGGGGCGGTGAAGGTCGCGGCGGAGGGTTTGAAGACGGTGATGAGGCTCAGGATGAAGTGGCCGGCGATGCCGCCCAGCATGAGCTTCCAGGCGAGGCCGGGGTTCTCAAGCGTGACGTTCCACGCGGTGATCGCTGTGACGCCGCAGAACGCGAAGAGAACGGCCGTTTTGATGACGGTGCCCTGGACGGTCATGGCGCCGGGGCGTGCCTCGACCTGCTCCTGGGGGAGGCCGGTTGTGCCGCGGGTCTCGAGGTCTTGCCAGGTCTGGGCGGGCCCGAAGGGGTTTTTCTTGAGGGCCGGGTTCTGTGTTCTGAACATGGTGTGTGTTCTCGTCCTTGAAGGGTGCGGTTGCGGTGCGATGACTGTACCGCGTTCTTTGGAAAAGGTGTCGTTTTCTATCGTCAGGATTGGGTTCTGAGGGACGAAATCGCTTTGGGGAGGCGGTCCAGGAGGTCGGTGGCGAGCATGCCGCCGTCGGCGCGGTTCTCGTCGGCCCAGGCGCGTCCGGCGCGGGCGTGGGCGAGGACGGCGGCCCGGGCGGCGTCGTAGAGGGAGATGCCGCCCCGGGACTCTGAGGGGACCGTGCGTGAGCCGGCGAGGATGGGGCGGCGGTGGTGCTGGGCGATGAGGGAGGCGATGACGCCGGCGAGGACGTCGCCCGAGCCGCCCGTGGCGAGGGCGGGGTTGGGCTCGTTGTGGGTCCAGGTGCGAAGGCCGTCGGTGACGACGGTGGCGGCGGACTTGAGGACGACGACGGCGCCGAGGCGCTGAGCGAGCTGCTCGGCGGCGTGGGCGCGGGTGGCGGGGTCTTCGGGGTCGGCCGTGATGCCGAGGGGCTTGGCGAGGCGCTTGAACTCGCCGACGTGGGGCGTGAGGACGCAGGGGGCGCGGAGGTCCTTGGGGTAATCGCTGAGGTTCGCGAGGTTGTTGAGGGCGTCGGCGTCGAGGACGAGGGGGGTCTCGTCCTGACCGCCCCCGGCGAGGCGGAGGACGGCCGCGGCGGCGCCGTCCGAGACGCCCAGCCCGGGGCCGATGGCGACGGCGTTCGCGTCGCGTGCGAGCTCGTCGAGGCGGGGGGCGCACTCGTGGGGGACGAGGCGGCCCTGCTCGTCGACGGGGAGGGCGATGCCGGTGACGGGGAGGGCTTCGGCGAGGGCGGGGACGAGGAGGGGCGCGGGGAGGGCGAGCTTGGCGAGGCCCGCGCCGGCGCGGAGGGCGGCGAGGGCGCAGAGGGCGGGGCCGCCGGGCATGGTGAGGCCGGACTCGGCGTCGCGGGCGCCGCCGACGACGGCGACGGTTCCGAAGGTGCCCTTGTGGCCCTGGGTTGGTCTTGGCGGGAGCGTTGGCGCTTCGGTCATGGGGGGCATGGTACGCGCGCACGAAAAAGGCCGGCGCGGTGACCCGCGTCGGCCTCGAGGAGTGATCGGATGATCGTGTTGCTCAGGCGGCGCGACGGGCCGTGCTGCGGCGGCTCGTGGTGCGGCGGCGGGAGCTGGACGTGCCGACGAGACGGAGGCCGCTCTTGCGGGCGGTGGTGCGGCGCTTGGCCGGGCTCTTGCGAGCGGCGGGCTTGCGGGCGGTCGTCTTGCGGGCGGTGGACTTGCGAACGTTCTTCTTCGCGGTGGTCTTGCGAGAAGTGTTCTTCTTGGCGGTGGACTTGCGGACCGGCTTGCGGGCCGTGGACTTGCGAGCGGTGGTCTTGCGACCCGTGCTCTTCTTCGCCGTCGACTTGCGGACCGGCTTGCGGGCTGTGGTCTTGCGAGCGGTGGTCTTGCGACCCGTGCTCTTCTTCGCCGTCGACTTACGGACCGGCTTGCGGGCCGTGGTCTTGCGGGCGGTGGTCTTGCGACCCGTGCTCTTCTTCGCCGTGGTCTTGCGAGCGGCCGGCTTGCGGGCCGTCGTCTTGCGGGCGGTGCTCTTGCGAGCGTTGCTCTTGCGAGCGGCGGGCTTGCGGGCCGTCGTCTTCTTCGCGGTCGTCTTGCGACGGGCGGTGGTCTTGCGGCCGGCGGTGTTCTTCTTGGCGGTCGACTTGCGGACGGGCTTGCGGGCCGTGGTCTTGCGAGCGGTCGACTTGCGGGTGGTGTTCTTCTTGGCGGTGGTCTTGCGAGCGGCGGGCTTGCGGCTCGTGGACTTCTTCGCCGTGGTCTTGCGGGCGGCCGGCTTGCGGGCCGTGGTCTTGCGAGCGGTCGACTTGCGGGTCGTGCTCTTCTTGGCGGCGGGCTTGCGAGCGGTGGTCTTCTTCGCCGTGGTCTTGCGAGCGGCGGGCTTGCGGGCGGTGGTCTTGCGGGCCGTGGTCTTCTTCGCGGTCGTCTTGCGACGGGCGGTGGTCTTGCGGCCGGCGGTGTTCTTCTTGGCGGTGGTCTTGCGAGTGGGGCTCTTGCGAGCGGCGGTTTTGCGGGTCGTCGTTCGCTTGGCGCCCGACGTACGTCGCGTACGGCTGCTGGTCTTGGTGGGCATAACTTTCATGCTCCTGGGTGTGCGGGGCGTGGCGCCGCGGCGCTCGTCGACCCCTTGGATTCGGTCGCCCCCTGCACTGGCCGGGGCATGACTCGTCGATGTTCCCCCCGCTCCCTGTGAACGGGGATTCCCTGAACTGATGAGCGTTATCGACGGCGGACAAAGGGCGAATGAACTTTTCAATCCAAGATTCTTCAGAAACGCGCATTTTTTTCCGTCCTTTTCTCATGCGGTTTGTTCCCCAGCCCTGATGACCCGAACCTTGAAAAACACGCGGCCCGCGAGTCGACGCGCCGGCGTGCCGAGGAGTAGAGTTCGCTCACCATGCCCACGCCCGAGACGCAATCCGCCTGGAACCCCACGTCGTGGCGCGAGAAGATCGCGGCCCACCAGACGGTCTACGAGGACCGCGAGGCGGTGGCCCGCGCGGTGGAAAAGCTGGGCGGATTCCCGCCTTTGGTGACATCGGGCGAGATCGAGCACCTCAAGGCGAATCTGGCGGAGGCGCAGGAGGGGCGGCGTTTCGTGCTGCAGGGGGGCGACTGCGCGGAGCGGCTGGACGACTGCCGCCCGCAGGTGATCGCGAACAAGCTGAAGATCCTTCTGCAGATGAGCCTGGTGCTGGTTCACGGTTTGCGCCAGCCGGTGGTCCGTATCGGACGTTTCGCGGGGCAGTACGCGAAGCCGCGGTCTTCTCCGACGGAGACGCGGGACGGGGTGACGCTCCCGAGCTACTTCGGGGACCTGGTGAACCGGTGGGACTTCGATGAGGCGTCTCGGAGGCCCGATCCTCATCTGATGGTGCGGGGGTACCAGCACGCGGCGGTGACGCTGAACTTCATCCGGTCGCTCATCGACGGCGGGTTCGCGGATCTGCACCACCCGGAGCGGTGGGACCTCTCGTTCCTGGATCACGACTCGATGGACGAGCGGGCGCGGGCGCGCTACCAGGCGATGGCGTCGGAGCTTTCGGGCGCGATCACGTTTATGGAAGCGCTTGGGGACAAGACGGTCGACGACCTGACGCGCGTGGACTTCTTCACGTCGCACGAGGGGCTCAACCTTCTGTACGAGAGCGCGCAGACGCGGACGGTTCCCCGGCGCGAGGGGTACTACAACCTGACGACGCACTTCCCTTGGATCGGGGAGCGGACGCGCGACCTGAACGGGGCGCACGTGGAGTACTTCCGCGGGATCCGGAACCCGGTGGGCGTGAAGGTGGGTCCGAAGACGGCTCCGGCGGATGTGCTCGCGCTGATCGAGGCGTTGAACCCGACGGACGAGCCGGGCAAGCTCGCGCTGATTCACCGGATGGGCGCGAAGGATGTGCGGACGGCGCTGCCGCCGCTGCTCGAGGCGGTGCACAAGAGCGGGAAGCGCGTGCTGTGGCTCTGCGACCCGATGCACGGGAACACGGTGGGGACGGCCAGCGGGATCAAGACGCGGAACTTCGACGACATCCTCGCGGAGATCACGGGCGCGTTCGACGCGCACGACGAGGCGGGGACGCGGCTGGGCGGCGTGCACTTCGAGCTGACGGGCGAGGACGTGACGGAGTGCGTGGGCGGGGCGACGGACGTGACAGAGGACACACTGCACACGAACTACGTGAGCCAGTGCGACCCGAGGTTGAATTACCACCAGGGGTTGCAGATGGCGTTTTTGATCGCGGAGCGTGGGCGGGGGAGGTGAAGAGTTGGCCAGTGGGCAATGGCCAATGGGGAATGGGGGGAGATTTCGGCAGTGGGCAGTCGGCAGATCGGCAGTCGATTAGCACTCCCCACCTCTCCCCCTGAGGTGGGAGATGTCGGCTGATGTGCGCCAGCCATCAGGCGGGTGAGGGGGTTCGTTGTGTGATGGATTGGTCGTCGTCGTGCGGAGCGCCGCCGTGCGCCCCCTCACCCGAGCGACGGCTTGCGCTCGTCGCTCGACCTCTCCCACCGCAGGGCGGGGGAGAGGTGGGGAGTGGTGTCCTTGAATCACGAGTGTTGGACATCTCCGCTTCAGACCTCTCTGCTACCTTTCGACCATGCCGATCTACAGCGCCAACGGACCGGAATGTCCTTCATGTCGATCGCGGAACACTCGATCGGCCAATCGCCTCCTGGACGTATTTTTCGGGCTGCTCCATTTGTTGCTCAGCATCCTGATCAGCTTCCTCGCGTACGTTTACAACGACCTGACCATCTGGACACGGAATCGGCGCTTCAAATGCCAGGACTGTGGGTATCGCTTCAGCTACCAGTTCGAGGACGGGTGATTTTCACACTGAAGAACTCGAGACTGGCTGGCACCCCCACCCCTCGTAGACGCCGCGGAGTGAGTTGACTTTCTCGGCGATTCGATCGGTCAGCGTGACGAGCGATTCGTCGTCTACGGCGTGGACTTTGACAATGGTGATGGCGTGTTTCGGGAGGTTGGCTTTGGTGCGCTGCGTGCTGGCGATGCCGTAGCCGTTGAGCTTCGCCCAGGCGATGAAGCGGAGGCGGGCGAAGCGGGAGTGGAAGCGGGCGAAGTGGTCGACTTCGCGGGGGGCGCTCAGGTCGTCGCCCTGTTCGAGGAGGAGGGCGCGCTGCGCGTCGGCACGGATGGCGCGGTCGCGTTTGGCGAGTCGCTTGTCCACGGGTTCAGCCCTCCGTGCGCGCGGCGCGCTCGATCTCCGCCCAGGTCTCGCGGTAGCGGGCGAACATCTCTTCGAGGGCGCTGGGGATGACGCGGATGTTGCCGACGGCGGTGATGAAGTTGACGTCGCCGGCCCAGCGGGGGACGACGTGGGCGTGGAGGTGTTCGGGGACGCCGGCGCCGGCGGCCTTGCCCTGGTTGATGCCGACGTTGACGCCCTGGGGGTTGAGCGTCTTTTCGCAGAGCTCGACGGCGAGGTCGATGAGGGAGTGGAGCTCGGCGCGCTGGGGTTCGGTGTAGTCGAGGAGACGCTGGCGGCCGTCGCCCAGGGCGACGAGGAGGTGGCCGTTGGCGTAGGGGTAGCGGTTGAGGAGGATCATGCCGCCGGATCGCGTCGCGGGGGATCCGGTGCGGACGACGACGAGGTGGCGCTCGTCGTTGCCGGGGTCGTTCCAGTAGTCCTCGAGGAAGCATCCGCCGGCGGGCGCGCCCGCGGGGGTGTCGCCGGCGGCGTCCGCGTCGGCGGCGGCTCGGGCGTCCTGCTCGGAGAGGAGGCGCATGAAGCTCGCGCGCCACGGTGCGTGGATCTGGCTGGCTCGGGTGGGCGGGGTGTCGGATGGGTGGTGCGGGTCGTTCATGGCGTTGCGGGAAGGGTGTACACTGTGCGGTCCGCAAGGGATCGCACGAATCACAACCGATGGTACCGGGAAACGCGACGCGGCCCGGTGCTTCGCGGGGGCAATCAAGGAGCACGCATGTTTTCGAACGTCAGCATCGTCAAGCGCGGGACGCCCGGCGCGACCGTCCTCGGGTTCTTCAAGGGCGGGACGCTGGACAAGCGTTCGCGCGAGCTGGACGCGACGGGTGTCGCGGGCGAGGCGCTCAAGCGGCCCGAGGCGACGGGCGCCGTCGGGAACATCGTCGAGGCGTTCGACGAGAACGGGCACCGGTACGTGCTGATCGGTCTCGGCGAGGCGAAGAGCGTGAGCGTGCGGACGCTGCACAAGGCGATCGGAGCGCTGGGTCGCCGGCTCGCGTCGACGAAGGAGACGGTTGTTGATCTGTCGCTCGAGGGCGCGATCGGGGAGACGTCGCTCGACGCGTGGCGCGCGGGGAGCGCGATCGGCGAGGCGCTGGGGCTGCTGGCGTGGGACCGGCACGCGTTCAAGGGGAGAGCGACGGACGCGCCGAAGAAGGAGAAGCTGTCTCTGCTCGTCGGCAACGCGTCGATGGCGAAGGGTGTTGAGCGCGGGCTCGGGCTCGCGGTGAGCGCGAACATCGCGCGGGACCTGAGCGAGACGCCGCCGAACATCGCGACGCCGGACTACATCGCGAAGCGGGCGCAGGCGATGGCGCGTCAGACGGGGCTCAAGTGCACGGTGCTGCGCGGGAAGAAGCTCGAGGACGAGAAGCTCGTCGGGCACATCAACGTGGGCAAGGCGTCGGAGAACAAGCCGTGCCTCGTGCGGCTCGAGTATTCGCCGGGCGGGGCGCGGAGCGCGGCGAAGCCGATCGTGCTGGTGGGCAAGACGATCACGTACGACACGGGCGGGCTGTCGCTGAAGATCCCGGCGACGAACATGGCGGGGATGAAGCGTGACAAGGACGGCGGGTGCAACGTGTTCGGGGCGATGCACGCGATCGCGACGGTGATCAAGCCGCGGAAGCGCGTGGTGGCGTACCTGGCGTGCGCGGAGAACTCGATCTCGGACGAGGCGTACCGGCCGGACGACATCCTGACGTACCGCAACGGTGTGACGGTGGAGATCACGAACACGGACGCGGAGGGGCGGCTCGTTCTGGCGGACGCGCTCGCGTACGCGTGCGACAAGGACTCACCGGCGCAGGTCATCGACATGGCGACGCTGACGGGCGGCGTGGTGGTGGCGCTGGGCTCGGCGTACTGCGGGATGTGGTGCGAGGACGACGCGCTGCGCGGGAAGGTCGAGGAGGCGTCGGCGCTCGCGGGCGAGCCGGTGTGGCGTCTGCCGATGAACGAGGAGTACCGGGAGATGATGTCCTCCGACCCGGCGGACATCGTGAACTCCAACCCGAACCGCAAGGCGCACCCGATCCAGGGCGCCGCGTTCCTGAGCTACTTTGTGAGCGAGGGGACGCCTTGGTGCCACCTGGATATCGCGGGTGTGCACGCGTCGGAGAGCGACTCGGGGCCGTACGCCAAGAACAGCGCAACGGGGTTCGGCGTGCGGCTCGTTGCCGAGCTTCTAGATTTGTGATTTCTGGCGCACAACTCCACAGGCTGAAAGCCTGTGCCACGGCCTCACTTGCAATTGGTGCGCGCTTCAGAGCGTGAAGACGAGCACGAAGGCGATCAAAACGACGCCGGCGGTGAGCATGACCCAGGGTTTGGGCTTGCTTGTCGGCTCGTGCGCGATGGCGTGGCCGCAGGCGTTGCAGATCGCGGCGTCGTGGTAGACGTCTTCGCCGCAGTTGGGGCAGGCGACGTCGTCGCCGCCGAAGCGGGCGACGTCCTCGGCGGAGGGGGCTTCGGAGTTCGGGTCGAACTCGCAGCCGTGATTGGGGTGTTTGCAGCAGCCCATGGGTGAATGGTTGGCGTGCGGGGACGCGGTGTCAACCGGTCTCGTCGCTCAGCGCCGGCGTCGGGCGGTGGCGACGCCGGCGAGGCCCAGGAGGGCGGCGGTTGCGGGCGTGGGGATCTGTGTGAAGGAGACGTCGTCGAGGGTGAGGGTGTCTCCCGTGCCGTTGCTCGAGCCGGAGCCCTCGTTGCCGGCGAAGACGAAGAACTGGTTGATGGATCCGGGGACGCCGAAGATGCCGAAGGTGCCCTCGAGGCCGGCGAAGATCTCGGCGCCGTTGACGGAGACGAAGAGGTTGCCGGCGTCGTCGGTTTCGATCTCGACCTCGTAGCTGGTGTCGACCATCCAGTCGAAGCCGGTGTCGATGAACTCGAACATCTCGCCCTCGAAGGGGTCGACGGAGTACTGGCCGACGCGGACGCGGCCGTCGGTATCGAAGCTCACGCGTGTGTTGAGCGTGCCGATGGAGAGGTCGCGGGTGACGAGCTGGTAGGTGCTCGTGCCGCCGGAGATTCGGATGTTCGCGGCGATGCGGTGGGCGGTGACGTTCGTGTCGTAGCCGGCGGCGAACTCGGGCGAGTTGATCTCGAACCCGGGGACGGAGGTGCCGTCGCTGGCGTGTCGGGCGGAGCGGGCGCCGGAGAGGGGGTTGATCTCGGTGATCGTGGCGTTGTTGGGGAACTGGCTCTCCCAGCCGCCCTGGGGGACGAGGGGGCCGACGGCGAAGGACTCGAAGTCCTGCGAGAAGCCGGTGCCCATGCCGCGGAAGACGTTGGGGGTGAAGACGTTGTTGGTGACGCTCGTGAAGAGGTCGTCGTGCGCGAGGGCGGGGGTCGCGGCGGTGAGTGCCGCGGCGACGGCCAATGTAGAGACGGACATCTTCATGGTGTTGGGCTCCCTCGCTCTCCGGATCTCGGACGCGTGTGATCCCCCACCGCGTCAGCTTTATTGTGACACGGTGTGGGCGCGGATCAACCGTGACGGGGAGAGAAATCGCCGTTGATTCGTGGAAATGGGGGGGAGATATCGCGGTTGTCCGGTCGGAACGAAAAACGGCCCCCCGCGAGGTGCGAGGGGCCGTCTATTGCTTAGAGATCAGCGGTCCTCATCAGGGTGAGGACGTGGTGTGATCAGCATTCACGCGCGACGACGGCGGGCGGCGGCGAGGCCACCGAGACCGGCGAGGGCGACAGCGCCCGGAGCGGGAATGTTGATGTTGTCGAAGGTGAGGGTGTCACCCGAGCCGTCGGGGTTGCCGACGCCACCGTCGTTGGCGGCGAAGACGAGCCACTGATCGATCGCGCCGGCGACGCCGGTGAGGTCGAAGGCGGTGTCGAGGCCGGTGAAGATGGTGCCACCGTTCATGGAAACGGTGAGGGTGCCGTCCTGCGCGACGCCGATGCCGATGCGCATCTGCTGGCCGGGGGCCCAGTCAGCGCCGGAATCGATGAACTCGAAGGCGGTCTGCGCGGCGTTGACCTGACCGACGGTGATGTCGCCGGAGAGCTCGAA